GTCTGGGAGGAGATGTCTCAACGCATTGAAGACGACCATCATCTCTAGGCAATTCATGTGCCAAGCGAGATGATGACTCCTCCCAAGCCCTGAGCTGAGCGGCCTTCCAATACCGCTCCCCAGCCGGTGAGGGAAGCATCTGTCGAGATCACAACTCGATGGCAAAGAGCTCCCAACACCGGACCCTGGGTTAAGAACCAGTGTTTCCTCCATATAACCAAGGCGCAGAGACACCGCCGCGTGATCTTGATCATACGAAGTGGGTTTCCCCTCGGGGAGAACCCTCTGGTCCTGAACCACCACTGTAAAGGTCTCATGTACAGCAGGCCAAAAGGTATCCCGTTGGACGCTGCTGCCACAAGACCCAACAGTCTCTCGAACTGTTTTACAGTGCGTGACTGGCCTAGCCTCAGCTCTTTTGTGGCTGTTATGATAGCAGCTACACGAACGGGCGACAGAGTGGCCCGCATCGTCACTGAATCACATAGCACACCAAGGAAAGTGGTTCTCTGTACTGGAGAAAGCACACTCTTCTTGGCATTGAGCCTCAACCCCAACATCTGCATATGAGCGAGAACGACACCTCGGTGCCGAACCGCTAACTGTTCTGATTCCGCTAGAATCAGCCAGTCATCTATGCAATTCAGAATGCGTATACACTGCAGCCTGGCGGGGCCAGAGCTGCGTCTACATACTTCGTGAATGTGCGAGGTGATAGAGCTAGACCGAAAGGAAGTGCCTGATACTGGTATTCTTTGCCCCAAAGAAAACCTCAGCAACCTCCTGTGCTGAGGGAGGATGGAGATATGGAAGTATACGTCTTTTAGATCTATCGTGACAAACCTATCGTGATCTGATTTGAGTCACGATCTGTTTGAGTGTCAGCATCTTGGACTTGAGTTCCAGCACCAAACACTCCAACAGACGAAGATCTAGTATGTGACGCAGCTCTCCATCCTTTTTTGGAACAATGAGATAACGACTTTAAAGACCCGACGCAATGTCGGGTGAGTACACCTGCTCTATAGCTTTCTTTGCTAACAGGGCCTTTACCTCTTGCTCCATTACCAGAGAGATTACCATTACCCATAGAGATATATTTGGCAGTAGCTTCCGCGCTGCCAGAAAATCTACCAAGGGAACCAGCCCCTCGAGGCTGGCCTCTGGTGTAAAAAAGTGCAACCAGTTCGGGGACCTGAAGCATACTGGCAGGAACCACCCGAACTGACTGTTTTCAAACCCCCCTCAGAGGGCGCGAGTCCGACGCAATGTCGAGTTGACGCTGCGCCAGAAGCTCGCTGGAGAACGCTGCGCCCCGAAGCACCAAGGGTGGCGGGGTTGGCAGAGATGGAAAGGGCACCGTATAATGAGGTGTACACCATTCCACCCCGGTTGGGGCTGCCCTCACCGGTCTGACGCCGGTGGCGCCAGACCTTTTCTTTTGAGCCGCAGCCTTCTCAGCATGAAGAACGGTCCTCGGATCCGGCTTCTGCTTTGAAGGCTTTGGCTGCTGTGTTGTGTATGAGAAACTAGCCGGCTGGAGCTGCTCACGCCCAGCAGCCCCAGGGGGTTGGACATAGCGAGGGAGAGATTATCTTGTATCTTTCTCCATGATTCCCATCAAATTGAGCCAGAGGTGTCTCTCAGTGACCACAAGGGCTGCCATCCCTGAGAGATAAATCTGAGGCCCGACGGAGTTCTCAAACCCCATGGGGCCAAACTCCCTCACTTCTGTCCAAATGCCACAGCAGGTCAGCCTGATATGCTTGCAGCACTGCTATAGTGTGCAAGAAGGCTCATGCTAGACCCACTGCCATATATGCTTTTCCCACTAGATTAAAAAATAGTTTTCTTTAATGGTTTAGTGAGAGAAGCCGACGCCTTCAGGGACGATACTGAACCGGGAGACAGATAGCTCGCAAGTGTCTGTTCTACCCAGGGTATTGCCCCATAGCCATACTCTCTTAACCCCCAAATATCTGAATAGACATGAATGTGGGGCTAAAAGATGAGTGAGGCTTTTTCCATGATCTAGACAGCTCGCTGTGCAGATCGGAAAAAATGGAAGGCCCCGTGATGGAGGTGGAAAAATAGAGGGAAGGAAACTCGTTCAATTTATTTTAAGGACGAGTGCCCCCTTATTTCTGCTGGCCATTAATTTATCTACAGCCTTAGTAAACACCTCCACCAGCTTATTATTATTTTTTATATATACATTCTTTATATATATTCACTTTATTTTATACACTCACCGGCCACTTTATTAGGTACACCTGTCCAACTGCTCGTTAACACTTAATTTATAAGCAGCCAATCACATGGCGGCAACTCAGTGCATTTAGGCATGTAGACATGGTCAAGACAATCTCCTGCAGTTCAAACCAAGCATCAGTATGGGGAAGAAAGTTGATTTGAGTGACTTTGAACGTGGCATGATTGTTGGTGCCAGAAGGGCTGGTCTGAGTATTTCAGAAACTGCTAATCTACTGGGATTTTCACGCACAACCATCTCTAGGGTTTACAGAGAATGGTCCGAAAAAGAAAAAACATCCAGTGAGCGGCAGTTCTGTGGGCGGAAATGCCTTGTTGATGCCAGAGGTCAGAGGAGAATGGCCAGACTGGTTCGAGCTGATAGAAGGGCAACAGTGACTGAAATAACCACTCGTTACAACCGAGGTATGCAGCAAAGCATTTGTGAAGCCACAACACGCACAACCTTGAGGCGGATGGGCTACAACAGCAGAAGACTCCACCGGGTACCACTCATCTCCACTACAAATAGGAAAAAGAGGCTACAATTTGCAAGAGCTCACCAAAATTGAACAGTTGAAGACTGGAAAAAAGTTGCCTGGTCTGATGAGTCTCGATTTCTGTTGAGACATTCAGATGTTAGAGTCAGAATTTGGCGTAAACAGAATGAGAACATGGAACCATCATGCCTTGTTACCACTGTGCAGGCTGGTGGTGGTGGTGTAATGGTGTGGGGGATGTTTTCCTGGCACACTTTAGGCCCCTTAGTGCCAATTGGGCATCGTTTAAATGCCACGGCCTACCTGAGCATTGTTTCTGAACATGTCCATCCCTTTATGGCCACCATGTACCCATCCTCTGATGGCTACTTCCACCATGTCACAAAGCTCTAATCATTTCAAATTGGTTTCTTGAACATGACAATGAGTTCACTGTACTAAAATGGCCTCCACAGTCACCAGATCTCAACCCAATAGAGCATCTTTGGGATGTGGTGGAACGGGAGATTCGCATCATGGATGTGCAGCCGACAAATCTGCGGCAACTGTGTGATGCCATCATGTCAATATGGACCAAACTCCCTGAGGAATGCTTCCAGCACCTTGTTGAATCTATGCCACGAAGAATTGAGGCAGTTCTGAAGGCAAAAGGGGGTCCAACCCGTTACTAGCATGGGGTACCTAATAAAGTGGCCGGTGAGTGTATATAATATATAAACTATCATATATATATATATATAGGATATATATATATTTCTCATACTCTGGGGAAGAGATGGCAAATCCACTTCCCCCATGATTGTGTCACTTTCAATGCCCAGCACATCTACCTCCTCGGAGGTAGAGCACTGAAGCATTGATTTCTCTCCCCGGGCGGAAGAGACCGCAGCGCGGGCTTCCGAGACCGGCGAGAGAGCACTGGATCCCTCGTGGAAAGGGAGGAGATATCCACGGACCCGTCTCCAGAGATCCAAGAGATCCTATTCGCGATCCACAGGAATGCATTCTCCGCGCTGCCTCGGCAGACGCGGGTCCTGCACCCTGAGGATCGCGAGCCTGGCCACTTTCCTCGAAAAGCGCCAGGCGAGAGCGGAGCATGCGGAGAGGAAGCATCTCGCAATGCTGGCAATCAGCCCCCTCGAAGGCTGACACCGCATGCTCCACTCCCAAACAAACTACACAAAGCTTGTGTGTGTCCCCACCCGTTAAATAACGCGGGCAGGGAGAAGCACAGAGTTTGTAAAGTTGTTTCGCCATAACTCTTCCCAATCATATCGAACAGACAACAATAAATAGACAGAGACAGAGTAACACAGATCGCTTGCTGAGACACAGAAGCTAATGCCGGTTTGCACCGGATGTGCTTTTATCCCTTCCTGGTCATGACGTCACCCGCCCGTGACGCTCATTCTTTCCATTGGACTAGTTGACATTGATGCTCAGACGCATTCACGCTGGGGGCGTTCCCAAAGCGTCGATGACGCATCGCGAGTTCCCTCGAAAGGGAACTATCCTGCCTCTGTTCCTCAAAAGTTATGTAAGTAATCCTTATTTATTCTTTCTTTTCTAATCAATACCTTCTATAGCAGTATGCATTTGTCGCAATGTGTTTACTAAATGCTTTTTGTTTCAAAATACATTTATTTATTAATTTATTATTATTTATGAGTAATTATTAATATTAATATTGAATATGTATTCTTTATTTTCCAGTGGAGTCCACAGAAGAAGAAAAAAATCACACAATTTCTCAGATATATTCAAATGTTTTAAAACATTTTGAATGAACATCAATCATTTTCAACCATCCATTTGCGTATGTTTTGTTTTATGTGACATCCTTGATATATCATTGCAACAAATTTGAAGTGAGGCTACAAAAACAGGACAGATTATTTTTTACACCCAGAGAGACTGGACATTCACTCTTCAGGTGACAAACTCTCCCTTTTGACTTAATTTGTTTATTCCATTGAGTGATATGCAAAAAAAAGTACATCATTAGCAGACTGCTCTAGATTAAGAGTTATGGACAACTTAGATGAATTAGCTGTTGAGTAAAACATGGAGATGTGTTTTGTTTTAATTGAGATTTTGAATATGACCATAGTGATATGCACAACACTGTTTTTTGTTTGTTTGTTTGTTTGTTTTTTTCTGTGCAGGCTTATTTATCTAGTATACTTACTCTTTTATCTTCCTATTGATAACTTAGTATTCATTTTATGAGATTTTCAAGACAAGAAGAAGATGAATGACTCTACAGTGAACTTCACCATTAAAGCATCCTCAAACTCCACTGCTCATTCCATTGAGCTAATAGAAAGTCTATAATTGTGAGTGTGCAGCTTTAGTTTTCTGTTTGGTCTTCCTATACACTTCTACGTTATATGGCTCATTGTCACTGGAGCAGGAAGTGGAGTCGCATCAGAATTCTTCATCCTCAATCTCTCTGTTTGTGAGATTGGTAACTGTCTGTTATGTTTTTTTTTATTCAATTGCAATTTGTTTTTCATGCCTCAAGAGAGTATCACAGTTTCTACAAGGCCAAGCCATCACTGGTCGTCCTCTGTTTCAGTGTCTGATCTGTGTTGAGCGTTACCTGGCAGTGGTTCATCCTGTAACCGTTCTGAAGTACAAACCTCTCAGATATAGAGTGCTTATAAAATTATACTTTTATGTGTAACAGTAAACAGTGAATTGTTTGAACTCTAGAAATGTTTAAACTTTATTATTACAGTATTTTTAAAGTTTAGGGTGTTGTGTTGGCATGGCAATGAACTAGTACATTTATTTATATTTAACATTTTTAAATCACATTGTTTATATCTTGTAGCTATTGAAACGGTGAGTATTTTGACGTTTACGGATTGGCTCCATTCAGGTCCATTGCAAACGTCTTACTGTAACCCAGATTTTATGTACGGTAAAGAAAAGGAGGGAAAATGTGGTCGATTGAACCTAACCTGTACTAACCACACAATATGTCTTTAAGATTTGTTTTCACTGAATTACTGAAACAGCCAAACTTGTTAGACATTTGTCACAGAGATGTTCACATTAAACCTGACATCTGTGTGTATGCAATTAGCTGAGTACTTCATGATACTTCTCTGTGGAAAAATAATTTGAACTCATGGTTTTAAATGTATATTAACAATTTTGAATAGTATAATGTTGTCTTTATCATATATTGCAAACAAAGAACATTCGGTAATACTAATAACAGTTTATTGTGTGTCAGTGGGTATTTTTTTTTTTTTTTTTTTTTACAGAGGATAAAATGTTTTTCTATTGACGTTTACACAAGATTGTCTGTCTTTTTTAACCTCCTGATTTTCACTTTAAATATTTGCATAGATGTTGTTTGTGATGTTTAGAAAATGAAATTGTATACACATGGACATCTGTGAAGTGACTATATAACAGCAGTAAGCTTTATGTCAATCCAGAGAGACGGAACATTAATTCTCCAGGTGACAAACTCTGTTCACTTTGATTCATTGTCTTTGTCTCAGCTTTATAATATATAACAGAGTCACTGTGACACACAGGGTACAGGTTATGATGAGCATGCTAGATGAATTAGTTGAGTAAAATAGGTTTGATCTTTGGAAAAAAGTAACAGAAATTTAGATTTTCTATTTGAACTTAAGCCATGAACGTTAACAACATGTTTCAAATTATTATATAGCATTGTATTTAAAACTAGAATGTGTTTGTTTTCTTTGTATAATTTAGGTATTACGTAGAATGATTATAATTGCTTACAATAATGTATTGTAATTTTGCCTTTAGATCATCTTGGAACATTTTGGTCTTCTTTTTTTCCATAGATCACAACTGCAACATTGTTCCTTTGTTCTTCTGGTTCTGACTGAAGAAAGTAGACATGACAAACTTCAGCACACCTCATACACCTGCCAACATCACACTAACATCATTTTGGAAAATAGACATATTAGAAACTTGTATGTTGACCTTCAACTTCATATCTGGTCTTCCAACAAACGCCTATGTTATCTGGCTCATCATGACAGGAACAGGAAATGGAGTTGCATCAGAGTTCTTCAACCTCAATCTCTCTGTTTGTGGGATATTTGTCTCTGTGAACGCTTTGCTCATTCTAGCCTCAAAATGGTTTCCATTTCAAAGTCTCACAGCATTAACACAGTTTTTCTTCGGACTTACTGTCACTGGTCATCCTCTGTTTCAGTGTCTGATGTGTGTTGAGCGTTACCTGGCAGTGGTTCATCCTGTAACCTTTCTGAAGTTCAAACCTCTCAGATATAGAGTGATATGTTGCACTGTGGCCTGGATATTTATATTTGGCACTTGTTTGTTCTGCATGTTTAGTTTTATCTCATTTACCATACATATGTATATATGGTTCTACTCACTGCAGTTCCTCCTCTTCCTCTCCATCCAGTTGTTTTGTCTTGTGGCGGTTCTCAGAGCTCTGAAGCAGTCAGGACCAGGAGAGAGAAGGGGAGAGAGAGAGGAAGAAAACCAAATGAAGAGAAGAGCGTTTTACATCATTCGAGTAATTACTGCTAGCTTGGTTATCACATATGTTCCATATATTGCCACTGGTTTGCATTATCTTGTGACACTGCAGGTCATTCAGATTCTTTGGTCAATTAGTTACATTTGTTTTATGCTGGCTGGTTTTGTTCACCTTGCACTTTATCTGCACCGGACTGGAAAACTCTTCTGCTTCTGTTCTAAAAATGATTAATCATATTATCGCCTGCTTTAAGCCAGACTCCTTGCACCATGTTGTGTTTTAATTTATGTTATTGAATATTGATTGCTAAGCTGATTACTACATGGCTACATAACAAATAAATGAATGCATAGACAGGAAATTTTAACCTGAGTTATTGTAACCTTTAGAGATTGCAGAGGCACGGCACCCAAATTGGGCAGTTAGTAATTTAGCTTCATCTCGACTGTCATCATTTGGAAATATTTAACTGTTGAATGCTGCAATTGACAAATCGGAGTCATGTTCTCTAGAGCAGTGTTTCCCAACCCTGCTCCTTGAGGCACACCAACAGTGCACATTTTGGATGTCTCCCATGACCCATATATTTCTGGTCTTGGAGTCTCTACTAACTTAGGAAGAGTCTTAGGAAGAGTTGGAAAATGTGTAGTGTTGGTGTGCCTCCAGGAACAGGGTTGGGAAACACTGCTCTAGAGAGCCGTGTAATACTATAAAAATTATGCTGGTTTTCATTTAGAATAGATATTTTAGGTTATTTGAAATGACCTAAATATGAAACTTTGGTGAATAATTTTAGCGTAACAAATTGCATATACCTGAGATTTTGGAACGTTTGCTATAATTTAGTGGTTCTTCTGCATTATGAATCATATTCTGTTGTTTATTGACAACAAGTTTAAGAGTAATTTAACTTTATCATTGTGTTTAAGTTTATACATTAAGGTGCACTTTGTTATATGTTTAATGCATATTGCTTTTCATTTTCTCAGTTTTATAAATAAATATAACAACTTACTTCTGAATTTTTTTGTGTGTCAGAATGTCAAATTTTGCTGACAGTTTACAATAAGGCCTCGTTCACAATTTCTTTCTTCTGCTGAACACAAAAAATATATATATTTTTAAGAATGCTAGTAACCAAACAGTTGATGGACCCCATTGATTTTTTTTTTTTTTGGAAGTCAATGGGGCACATCAACTGTTTGTTTATACATTCTTCAAAATATCGTCCCTTGTGTTCAGCAAAAGAGAGAAATGCATACAGGTTTGGGACAACTTAAGGGTGAGTAAATGATGACAGAATTTTCAATTTTGGGTGAACTATCCCTTTAATGCACTAACTATGAAGTAACAATAAGCAAACTGTAGAATTTTACATTATTATTATTATAATATATATTTTTTTTGTTCATGTGAGATTATAAAAATATGTTTTGTTTACAGTGCATTAACTAATGTTAACATATAAAACATTTTATTAAGTTGTTAAATGAACATTAACTAAGATTAAACAGAACTATATTGTTCATTGTTAGTCATATTACATCAAGTTAACTAATCCTAACAAATAATGAGACTTTGAAAAAGTGAAGTGTTTCCAATGAAAAATAAATTAAAAATAACACAAACACTACAGTCGCAGCAGCTGAAATGATGGTCTACTTCAGTTAAATGACTCAATTCCAGGGCAACAATGGAATCATGCATATATTGAGCCAAAGAGTTAAAATAATATAAATATTAATCATACCACAAACCTCAAGCATGACTGCCTGTAAAGCAACAGAATAAACGTATGAAAACATCAGTATTTTGTCAACCACAACATGTATTTAAATGTGTTTCACACTGTTAGCATTTAACAATCTAGTTAGTTTGCTTTCTAGCTGGATAATGATGGCTAAACAAATTGTTAATTAATTTGTGTGCTTCAACTCAAATTGACTACATTATGAAATTCACGAGTTTACATGTTAATGAAATCTGATGTAATATTATAATGCGTATTTGGCTTGCTGTCCGGGGGGAGGGCTCCGAGCTCAGAATGCGGCCCGACCCCAGAGTACTCCCCCCATGACCTTAGAGATCATAGGTATCTATGAGCGGACCCAGCCGAATGTGGGGTGAAGGGGTGGTGGTGGAATGCTGAGGAATTAGTCATGAGACAGGAGGTAAGGGAAAGCTTTATTTATACTGGCTTCTTCTTGTGCTGATTGGATGATAACCTGAACATGCTCCTACCGAACTTTGTTACATAAAACTTCATTTAAAAAAAATACATTTCAAAGACTAACCAGCACTTATGGCAGTTTTGAATAATCGGTTTATCGGTCACAGATTAAGGCTGTACTAGGTGTCTTTCCATTTTTAAAATGAATTATCATTATATTTTCATACCATGTCATTAACTTTACCTAGAATTTTCAAAAAGTAACCCCTAAGCCATGATTATCCAAGTAAAGTCAACTCACCTTTATTTATATAGCGCTTTTTACAATGCAGATTGTTTCAAAGCAGCTTTACAGAGATAACAGGAAAATAATGTTGTAATAAAATTGTTAAAAATAAAATTAAATGTCCCCAACTAAGCAAGCCAAAAGCCAATGGCAACAAAGGTGGAAAAAGGTGACAGTGGCAAGGAACCAAAACTCCATCAGGTGGCAGAATGGAGAAAAAAACCTTGGGAGAACCCAGGCTCAGTCAGGGGGCCAGTTCACCTCTGGCCAATGAACGAATAGTGTATGATTATGATTCAGGCAGCATTATAGGTCAAAAGTCAGATTGGATTGGAACATTATATTATGCAGTTCATCTGGTTGAAGATCGGAGTTATCACGCGTATATGGGGATGAGTTTGTTGAGGATCAGTGCTGATGGCTGTCGTGTCGATGAGGCCTTCACAAGAGAGTCTAGTTGACACTATCTCTGCTGACACTTCAGGGATGTGTTGTGGTCGTGTCTAGGTGCAGGTCCACCATCTGGTCTGGACACGGCCTGGATCCAGCTGATTACAGTAAACCTCGTAATAAACAGAAAGACTAAAATTAGTGTAGATGCTATTCTTTTTATAATGTAGCGCGTACATTAAGCGTTTTTTGTGCATGTTACATGATGTTTCATTTGTGTGTGTGTGTGTGTGTGTGTGTGTGTGTGTGTGAAGGAAATGGCCTGTACATTAAACCATGCATGATAATTGATGTATTTTTCCATCTGTGGTGTGAATGTGTTCCTTTTGGCTTCTGAAGTTGAGTACAATGCCTTTAAAATGCATTATTTCCACTTTTTTTTGCATAGCTGATGTACCGTGTGATGGTTAGAATGTAAAATCATGCACAAGTATTTGTGTACAAGTACAATGACATCTGTAATCTCTGAGCTTCGAGACTGAACATTCAATCTTCAGGTTACAAACTCCTCTTTTCAATTCAAATAATTTTCTTCTATTGTGTTGAGCATAATGTAAAACAATATACAATATACTATTGTTGTTATCAATCAAATAAAAGGGTTATGGGGAGGTTAGATGAATTGTATTATGGAGCTCTGTTTTTGTCATTGAAGGTGAAGTAAATGACTTGAAACCCAATATATTGTTTTAATTACCAGAATTATATCATAATCTGGAGGGATTTTACATTGAAATCAAATTCCAATTCTGCTTCAGTGTACATTAATTTTTCCCTCAGATTTAACTTTCAAAGCAGGTTGTGATTAAATTGATGTACATGTAGTCTGACCACTAACCTTGAACTTTGCACTTCTCTCTGTAGATCAAAATTGCAACATTTATTTCATTATTTATTTTTGGTGTGAGAAGATTGAAGAGGAAGACATGAGTAACTCTGCAGTGAACTTCACCATACATGAAGCATCTACCAACCTTACAACATCTGTATTTGAAATTGACATCCTAGGATCGTGTCTTTTTGGCTTCAGTTTCTTGTTTGGTGTTCCTACACACTTCTATGTTATCTGGCTCATCATGACAGGAACAGGAAACGGAGTTGCATCAGAGTTCTTCAACCTCAATCTCTCTATTTGTGGGATCTTTGTCTCTGTGAACGCTTTGCTCATTCTAGTCTCAAAATGGTTTCCATTTCAAAGTCTCACAGCATTAACACAGTTTTTCTTCGGACTTTCTGTCACTGGTCATCCTCTGTTTCAGTGTCTGATGTGTGTTGAGCGTTACCTGGCAGTGGTTCATCCTGTGACATTTCTGAAGTTCAAACCTCTCAGATATAGAGTGATCTGCAGCACTGCGGTCTGGATAACCACTCTTGGATCCTGTTTGTGCTGCATGCTTGGTCTTCTACTTATGTTTACTGTTTATACGTTTATGTGGTTCATCTCAATGCAATTCATACTCTACCTCCCCATCCAGTTGTTCTGCTGTGTGGCTGTTCTCAGAGCTCTGAAGCAGTCAGGACCAGGAGAGAGAGGGAGAGAGAGAGAGGAGGAAAACCACACGAAGAGAAGAGCATTTCATCTCATTGTAATAACTACTGTGAACACAGTTATCACATATGTTCCTTTTACAATAACTGGATTGGTATCTGCTGTGTCAGAGCAGCGTTTTCAGATTTTTTGGTTTCTTAGTAATATTTGTTTTTTGGTGGCTTGTTTAGTTCCGCCAATTCTTTATCTGCACCGAAATGGAAAACTCTCCTGCCTCAGCTTCTGTAACATGTAGAGTTAATTAGACCTTGTATCATTATCCATGTCACATGTCCTGATTACCCTGTCCGGATCTCCTACATTTGATAAAAGTGTGATATGTGACTATGGGTGTCGTTCACACTTAGCAGGTATGGTTGTATATATATATATATATATATATATATATATATATATATATATATATAAACATATATAAACACTCTGGTGTGATTGCTCTCTGTTAGTGTGGATCATTTGAATAAGGGAACCCGTCCCAGGACGTATCGTTGTAAATTTTCTGAATATGTGCGTGTGTGATTATTGTGTTTCCCTGCTGCCCAACAGCATGCTGGGAAGTGTAGTTTTTGTCTGTTTTCCTCTGGTCTTCCCTGTCTTCTCGGTAGAGCGTAATTGATGCCACCTGTTCCTCATCAGAGTATGGGAAGAGGAGCTTCCATTTAAACAGCGGAAACTGGCAGTTCACCAGAGAGAGCATGGCCTGTCCAATTTCCCAGACTTGGATGTTGAATGTTGTGTGCTCTGAGCCTTAATGCTTCTTTGAGAAAGCCTGTTGT